ATCGTTTTTGAATGGGTCTTGTGGAATATCAATATTATAAGAAGAAAGATGAGTGAGATGTGAATGTTTTGATACCAAGCTTTCCACGAATGACAATCGAGGACAGACGGTGATTGATAGTCAATGGTGGCAAAAAAATTTAATGCCTAAAACTGAATCTTTTAAAGTTTAGTGACAAAATTGATACATTCATAAATTTTAGTGTCTAAAATGACAACTGAATAATTTATTGATCTAAATAAATTAATTTAATTTTTCTAATTTCTTATTTATATTTAGATGATTAGCGTAATTCTTTAGGTTTATTCTATTTATTAAAATTTAAAATTTTTAAACAAAACAATTAAATGTACATCCAAATATTAAAAGATTGCTAATCTTTGTCCGAATATCTTAATTGCATTTTGGATTACATGCAAGTGATGCACATTGTTTAGATCCAAAATCTACGCCTAATTAAAAAATATTAATATAAGTCAATCTACCGATATTGTTAATAAAATGTAGGATAAATTACACCTACAACCATTTAAACTATATATGAGTTCTATTTCGACCATTGATCTTTTAATTTTTTAATTATATTATTTAACTATTTAAATTATGTTAATCAAATCACATGTCATTAATATTTGAAGGAATAACTAACGTGATAGTGAAAAAATTGATATGATTATATATTTGATCCTCATTACTTACATATTCTATCAATTTAGTCTTAATTTTAATTTAGGGTAAACTACATGTTTAGTATCCTAACTATCACTTTTGTTTCATTTTGGTCATCCAACTATTTTTTTCAAAACCATTCCTAACGTTTGGTTTTGGTCACCCGCCGTTAAAAAATTAACAGTGATGTTAATGTGTCCCCATAAAGTTATGCTACATCATCATTAAAAAATTAATAAAATACCACATCAAAAGTTCTGTTAATTTTTTAAAGATAGGTGACTAAAATGAAATTAAAATATAACGTTAGATATGGTTTTAAAGAAGATTAGTTGGGCGACCAAAACGAAACAAAAGTTATAGTTGAGGTATTAAACATTTAACCTTTTAATTTAATTTATTAAATGAAAATTAGGATTAAATTGATAGAATGTGTAGGTAATGGGAATGAAATGTAAAATTATACTAATTTTTTAAGTGTTACGTCAGTTATTTTGTCAAATGTTAAATGTAGGTGGTTTGATTGGTATCTTTTAAATATAAATGATCTAATTAATAAAATTAAAGGATCGATGTTTGAAATAAAATTGACCTATAGTTAAGTGGTCATATGTTTAGTTTGCCCTAAAATGTAAGATTTTTTAATCAAAATAATTAATCTAGATTAAGTTTTAAAATATATATAACTTAATTAGTTGATAATATTCTCTTAGCTGGTTCCAAAGTATGGGAGGGCGTAGTCATCTTTCCACCGAACGAGTCTCTGGTTATGAAAATGACATTTATCATTATTATTTTTATAGGAATATGTTAGTTTTATTAAAAATAAAAAATATCAAAAATTACTACGAGCATAACTGTAAACGTAAATTAAATTATAATTAATTAAGACATTTTTCTATAACCACTAACATAAAAATTAGCCTCCTAGATTACACAAGGATCATAAAAGAAAGATGTTAAAAAACCTAACCAATGTTTGAATAAAATAAAAATACGAACAAATCTGATTGCATCGACAAACGAACCACAAAAGGAGATGAAACTACTGAAAGATCAATGAAAAATCTCAGATCAAGGTCAAGCGTCGTGAGAAAACTATACAGGAGCACAAAACACGTATCCAAATCAATCCGACGGTCCAAAGCAGGGAAGATCAGCATGATAACAAATAAACACCATCTTGATCAATCATGGCGATGTCAAATCCAACCATGTGAAAAAAAGATAAAAAATACAAAAAAACTTTAAGCTACCAAAAGACAGAGAAAAACATGCCATAAAGATAAAGATAAACGTGTCATAAAGGCAGATAACATGTCACATAGACATAATTATTCTTATTAAAAAACTAAAAAAACAAAGAAAAAAGATAACCAACGGGCGGTAACCAACATCAAAACTGGTGCCACCGTCGATTGAACAAAATTAAAGTATAAAAAGTTGAATTGATTAATAAAATTGACACAAATTACAAAGAGGAAAAAAGGGAGAGAGAGGAGGAAGAAAACTACTAGGAATTTTTTAACGTGTTACATTTATCATTATTTTTAAATTTTGATTGAGAATAACAATTAAATGATTAGTAGTTAGAGTGAGTATTGTTTTTTAAAGGCTCTTAATTTAATCAATTTTATCTATAAATATGTATGCATTGTTAATTATTTAAAAATATATTGAATAGATATTACATTATAACACCACAAATTATTTAAAAAATTCTATTGAGAAACAAAATTAAATTAATAAATTTATCTTTCACCAACAGAGTTAGTTCAAGTGATAAACAACTTGATATCGTTTAAACAAATTTCTAATTTGAGTCATTGAGTATGTAAAAAATTCTCTTCAAAAGACTCACTTACCAACATCAAGTGTGAGATACGAGTCAATTCAAATTAATCAGGATCAACTCTTAAAATCGGGAGAACAACCAAATTTTTTCTAATTATATTAAAATCATGAATATAGTATAAAATTTAGAAATAATATCAACCTACGACTTTAATACTCCAAAATTGAAAGAAAAACAGTAGCGCCATAATGCCGTTAGATGTTGTTTCCTTGGTAGAATTGGACAAACAATTCACAACCCTACAAAAAGTAAATGGAATACAGTCTGTTACCAAAAATCAATTCCCACCAGCTTTGTATTTTACCGTATATTGTATTTATGTTTTTATATATAAATGATTTAGTTTAAATTTAAATTTGATATATTTATATATTTTTATTAGTATAAGATAATTACAAGATAATATATGTTTGGAGTTTTCTTAGTTAGTTGACAATAAATATACACACCCTACAGACCAAGTTGCTTGAACCAAGACTTTTAGGAAGAATAATATTATCTTCTACCACTAAGATCGCTTAATGAGTTCATTTTTTTGAATAGTTTATGGTGATTATAAGATAATATATATTCAAAATATTTTTTAGCCGTTCATCATGCACATATATTCGTAAACGCATTTGCTTAAATTCAGAACCTAAAAAAAAGAAAACAATCCCTTTAATTATTTATTGAGTACACTTAAATACTTTGTGTTCATATGTTTTAATTATTCTTTTCTGTCCTTTTGCATAATTGTTAGCATGCTTCCCCAGCTATATATACATTCACTCCCCCCTCTCAATGAAAACAAAGCTTCGAAATATTCCCACAAAACGCAATGAAAACCCATTTTGTAACTCTGATTTCCCCCCTAATTTTCTGCTTGGTCCAAGGTCTGAGCCCCCAATGTGCCACCCAAGACCATGGCTCGAACCTCCAAGTGTTCCATGTCTACAGTCCATGTTCACCCTTCAACCCCGCCAAGCCGCTTTCGTGGGAAGAGGATGTGCTCCAAACGCTGGCCAAGGACCAGGCCAGGGTCCGGTACTTGTCGAGCCTGGTGGCGAAGAAATCGGTGGTGCCGATAGCTTCGGGCAGGCAGATTGTGCAGAGTCCGACGTACATTGTGAGAGCCAATATTGGAAGCCCACCCCAGACGATGCTTTTGGCTATGGATACTAGCAGTGATGCTGCTTGGGTGCCTTGTACCGGCTGCATTGGTTGTTCTTCTACTGCTTTTGACTCTGTTAAATCCACCACTTTCAAGACCCTTGGTTGCCAGGCTGCTCAATGCAAGCAGGTAAGTTGCTAATCTTTTGTGTGTTTCTTTGTGTTTTGCTTTCACAAGAGATCCTAGTCAGAAAAACTAAAGAGGGGTTAGCATTTGTTGAGATTAATACTTGAATAGTATAATTAATACAAAAAAATTACTTATAACGTTTAAATATTCATTTTAGTTTTTTTAAGTATTTTGGTTTCAATGTTTTATTTTAAGTACTCGATTAAATAGTCACTTTAACTCTTTTTTTTTAAATAATTTAACCCTCAATGTTTTATTATAAGAAAAAAATCCTTATTTTAGAGCGATAATTGTTTATTAACCAATAATTTTCATTCACTTCAGGGGACCAAAAATGAGATGTTGGACATAAAATATTCCAAAAAAATTATGGTTAAAGTGACTATTTAGTCAAATGTAAGTATTTCGGATAAACTACACGATTAGTATCATACCTATTACTTTTTTTCTATTTTGGTCATCGAACTATTTTTTTCTTCAAAATCTTACATAATTTTACGTTTTGGTTTCATTTTTTTACTCGTTGTTAAAAAATTAATAGAACTGTTGATGTTGTATTTTTTTTATAAAAAAACAGTGATGATATGGTATTTCCTTATGATGACATATCAGCATTACCATTAATTTTTTTAATAATGGGTGACCAAAAAGAAACCAAAAAAGTAATATTAGGCATGATTTCAAAGCAAAAAATAGATAGGTGACTAAAACAAAATAAAAATGATAGTTTGAGTACTAAACATGTAGTCTATCCAAAAAGTTTTTGTCGTGAATCATGTGAAAACTTTTCTCAGGTTCCAAACCCCACTTGCGGTGGGAGCGCGTGCACATTCAACATGACTTACGGTGGTTCAACCATAGCCGGAAACCTTTCACAGGACACCGTGACGTTAGCCACTGACCCAATCCCAAACTACACTTTTGGTTGCCTCCAAAAGACAGCAGGCAACTCAGTGCCACCACAGGGCCTATTGGGCCTAGGCCGAGGCCCATTATCACTTCTCTCACAATCCCAAAACTTGTACCTGTCAACATTTTCATACTGCTTGCCTAACTTTAGGTCACTTAACTTCTCTGGGTCATTGAAACTTGGACCAAATGGGCAACCCTTAAGGATCAAGTACACCCCATTGCTCAAGAACCCTAGGAGACCCTCCCTTTATTATGTGAATTTGGTTTCGATTAGGGTTGGTAGAAAGATTGTTGATATCCCACCAAATGCCCTTGCTTTCAATCCTTCCACCGGTGCCGGCACCATTATCGATTCCGGTAACGTTTCCGTATTCTACGTAACACTTCCGACCTGGTTGGATGAAAAATAAATGTATTAAATGTTATTTACTTTTGTATTTAGGTACGGTTTTCACTCGGTTAGTTCAACCGGCCTATGTAGCTGTCCGCGATGAGTTCAGGAGACGAGTGAGAGTCGCGAACGTAACATCGCTCGGAGGGTTCGACACATGCTACATGGTCCCGATCATAGTACCCACAATAACGTTGATGTTTTCTGGCATGAACGTGACACTGCCACAAGAGAACCTGCTGATCCACAGCACGGCAGGCGGCATCACGTGTTTGGCGATGGCATCGGCACCGGCGCTGAACGTGATCGGCAACATGCAGCAGCAGAACCACAGGGTGCTTTTTGATGTGCCCAATTCGAGGGTGGGCTTCGCCCGTGAGCAATGTTCTTAAAATGTGTCTTTTTTAACTTTTGGGAATGAGTTTCTGAGTTAAAAGCAGAAAATATCCTAATGATAATAATAAAATCTAGGTCGAATTTTTGTAGGTTTCTTTTACTTGTATTGGGGTAGGTTTAAGTCACGGGCTTTATTTTAGGTTTTACTAGCCATATATGGATACATTGTGCTTGAATTGTTCTTTTTATTGTTATAATTGTGCTTAAGTTTTAACACGTTAATAATTTTTATAATTGAAAGTATTATAGAGTATTTTTAACTTTTATTCTTATGTTGTTCCAAATAGCCGAAAACCTCAAGTCAAGGAAAGCCTAAAAATCTAAATAAAGATTTTCCCGGTTGTCATAATCTTATAGTACATGGAAGCGTCCATGACTAGAACAAAATACTCTGTTAACAGGGATAAATCTAAAATTTTATATTAAAAAGGATAAATCCTTGAACTTTTTAGAAAGAATTAAATTTACAAAATTTAAAAAATTAAAAACAGTTTCTAATAAAAAAATACATATAAATAATTTAAAATATATGATAATTTTACGTGGACCTCACTATCATGATGACTCGGATCTTATAGGATGGTTATAGGCATATGCGATGGATGTATAATAGGGGACAGATGTATATTTGTTATTATTGTGTATTATATACTGTATTATAATTAAGATACTTATCTTCTATCATCGAGAAAATTGTATAAAATAATATTTTTGAGATAATAATTTTTGTATTAAAAAAGTTTAATGTAAAAAATTATTTAAATTATATCTAATATTATCAATATTATTATTTCAAGTGTCAGGTCTATTACATCCATAAAAAAAATTATTAAAAATCGATCAATCACTGAAAATATGACATATATTGTATTTATAACCATCAAACTAAGCTTCAAATATGGCTAAAATGTGGCATCTCAATGTGGTCATTAGTGGAGGATGCAACACCCTTACGTGGTCTAAATATAAGCCAAGTCGAAGGTACCGCAGTGATTATTCAAAACTTGAAGTCAAAACAAAATGCTTAATCAAACAAATTAAACTATCATGAAATCATTAAACATTTTTTTGGGGACTGAATTATCAATTATATCGAAGATGAGGGAAAAAAGCTTAAATCGCATATATGTTGAAGGCTAATCAATAAATTTAAATATTTAAAAGACTATAATAGTAAAAGAAACAAAGATATGTCTTAAAGTCTAAGAAATCAGTTAGCTTAATAAAGTATCACCTTAATGTATCAGTATTGATTTTATACTCGAAAATCTTAAAAATAACATGAAACCCATGATATCAATACTCCTATTTGGATATTGTTGACACCGTTTTTTGTCTAGGTGGGAAAAAATCAGTTCAACTTAGGGATTTATATTTGAAAAGATTTTAGGAAATGTTGGGAGTCGCCACCAATTATTTTAAGGTGCGATTGAAACACCATAAAACTGAATAATTTTAATAAAATATTTTTATTTATTTTTATTAAAATGCTAAGTTTGGGGTCTACGAAAACTAGAAATCAAGTTCGAGAGTCAGTTACGTGTGGGGAAGGGTTAGCGCTACCACAAGGTCCATAAATTGGTACATAATCGATTACCTTATATTTAAAATCGAAAATTTTGAGTTCGAGATTTTATTTAGTTCAAAAACCACCATGGATTCAAAGTTGAAGAGAGTGCTCGTTTATTAAAGCCAATAATATTCACCCATAGCATGAGTGTGAGAGATCAATTATTGTGCTAAATAACCGGACTGATAAATGCTTATTTTAGTTAATATTTTACTTTTAAATTACTCTTTAATCATTGATTTTTATGGTTTATTTGTTCATTTTAATTCATTTTCTGTACAGGACGTAAGATTCTGGAAATTGCACAAAAAGGACACAATTCTGCAGATTTTTTATTTTCAGAATCAAAGCTAGCTGGAATTCCGATTTGGATTAAACTCAAGTTTAGGATAATATTTTAAACATTATATTTTATCTTTGTATTTTAGTTTAAATAGGTTTTAGTATTTTAAATAAGTTTAAGGATATTATTTTTATATTTTATCTTTGTTTTAGGTATTTTAGTTTAAATAAGTTTTAGTATTTTAATTAGGATTTAGAATATTATATTATTTTTTAGTTATTTTAGTTTAATAGTTGTAAGTGTTTTAATTAGGATTTAAGATGTTTTAGCTCGTTTTTAGGAATTTGAAGGTTACAAATACCCTCTAAGGGTGAGCCTAGAAACATATCTATCTCATTTGAGAATAAAATCTTCCTTTTCTCTCTAGCTTTCTCTCTATTTTTCGCATACTTTTCTATTATGCTAAGTATGACTTTGGTCATGCTTAGCTAATTTTCTTTTAAGCCGAGGGCTAAAGCGAGGACTCAATTCCAAACGTAAGAATTGTAAGGTACTTAAATCGCTTCGGATTTTTTCTCTGTTTTCTGACCTTACTTTTCAAATCAAAACGATTTCGACATTGGTTCGAATATTGTTATGGTTAACGTTTGAAGAAGGATTTGCTTATTGAAGCATATTCAACTTCCTGAGAATACACTTAGCAAAATTGTTTGCTAAGAGGAAACTGAGATCAGAATAAGTTATTGTTAAAACGACGCAATCCGAGTTGGCGGTGAAGAATTGTTCTTGCAGTAACCGACGTGAATCTTGAAGTAAAAATCAATTTCGATGATCTGAGGAATTTGAGACAAAGCTGAAGTCTGAGGCTGCTTTCACAATAAGTTTCTCTTTATCTCAATCTCTTTAATTTGTTTATTTATTTAATTTAATTTTATTTAATTCTTTTATTTTATTTTAAAAACAACTTTTAAAAATTCCCTTTATATTTATTACTATTACTATTTATTATTTTATTATTTTTCCGTTTTTATTATTTATTTTATTTTAATATATCTTTTCAACTTTACTTGGAATTCTATCTTTTCCTAAAATCAAGAAACAATTTTATTAAATCATAAAAACCACCGTCCCTGTGGATCGACCATGCTTCTCTATACTACCTTTTTCTTTCTATTTATTTAAGAAGCCAATAATCATTTTGATAGCAAAACGACGGTTATCAAATTAGCGCCGTTGTCGGGGACTAACGACAAGTACTGATTTATTTTTCTAGTCTTTTGATTTATGACCAAAAGAAACCCAGGTGAATTAGTAGATCTAGATCCGGAGATCAAAGCACGAGCATGAAGAATCCACGCACAAACGCTTCGAGAAAAAAAGAAAAAGACAAGAAGAAAAAGAGCAGAAATCAGAAACAGAATCAAATCCGGACTCTGAAGCAGACGCATACAACATTCCGATGGCAGAACAAATGATCCGAGAGCTAGCCACAACTCCTGTCACTCAGACGCCATTATGCATTAATTTTCTTAGTGGCGGGACTCCATTTCAAATAAAGACGGGACTCATTCATCTTCTTCCCACTTTCCACGACTTTCCCACTGAAGTTCCGTACAAACTGTAACACCCATAACCCATATAATTATACCTATACAGATTATAGATGTCACCCGAATTTTCTAAAACCATTTTCAATTCAATCGTGAATTAAAATTTATTTTCTTAAAATGGTAAATGATATTATACAAATATCATATAATATGAATTATGTTTCATTATAACAAATTTAAAACAAAATATTTTTTATGAATAGTGAACAATACCGTGATCAGTGAATAGTGTACCGATGCACTGCTACAGTAACGCGAACAGGTACCGATGCACAAAAACACCGAATTAAAATTGTGTATCGATGCACTGCTACAGTAATTTCTGAAAATACATAAAATTCACAAAAATTAACCTTTCATCACTATAAAGTTTCCATTTTGTTTCCAAATTAATTCAACAAAATAAATTGAACATTATTAATTACATGCCACTATCTAAGTCAAATTCCATCATAGGATGTCTTACTGATATTGAAATATACTCCTCGATGCTTGATGTCACTTTGAACTCTTTATTCCACTACTGGTTTCTTTTACCTACGCGTGAAAATCATCACACGATAAGTATATACTTAGTAAGGTAATTAAAACAATATACATTGCAATACAATTCATGCATGAATTTCAATGTCAATTTCAAAATGCCATAAAATCATGTTATCAACATATTCAATATTTTTTCCATGATAAAATAACATAAAATTTCTTATCAATATAACATCCATTTATCCCATAAGCTTGTAAGCTTATTTTACCAATATACTTACCATTTAATACCATAAGCTAGTAAGCTTATTTTATTAATATACTTTCCATTTAATCCCAAAAGCTCGTAAGCTTATTTTACCAATATACTTACCATTTAATTCCATAAGCTCGTAAGCTTATTTTACCAATATACTTACCATTTAATTCCATAAGCTCGTAAGCTTATTTTACCAATATACTTGCCATTATTCCATAAGATCGTAAGCTTATTTGCATGCTTACCATTTATTAAGAAATAAATCATAAATCATAGACAATAGCCCAATATACAACCCTGAGAACCATGGGTATTCGAGTAATATACCTGCACCGTAGTGCTAAACCTGTACTAAGCTTACACCATAGTGCTAATCCGGATAATACACATAAGGTCGTGCCCACCACCTACACTAAGCTTACGCTATAGTGCTAATCCGGACATAAACCTGCACTTAGTGTCCTTACACACTATAGTGCTAATATAAACCTGCAGCTGCTATACTCTATGGCATGCCAACTATACCCTGTCCCTCAATGACTTACTTGGGCATATAGTCTATTTTATTCGATCCATCCATGACAAAGTATATTATCATAATTTAACATTGGGCAGTTTATACCTGAAAACATTCACGGTAAAATATACCATTTTCCATAATCAATGCATTATAATTTTATACTGTGACATATCAATGTCATGTCAATTTATAAAAATATGACATAATATCATGTTGATATAAACAAGGTCGACTTATCACAAGTCTTCCTGATGATGTATAAGTCATCCATGTATAATGTCATGCATGTATTGCACTCACCTTGACACTTTATAATTTCCAAAATATGTGCCTCACTATTGTTCTACAATAAACCCTTTTCTATTAGACTTGCTTCGATCACAAATAAATCACAATCTGTATAAATCACAAATTTATAACAATACATATGTTAGTAATAACTCCATAATATACTTAAAACTCATTTTCTATCAAAATACTTAACACTTAATAATTCCTGAAGACACTAGTTTTTTACATTTGGTTTTTTATTATTATATTTATTATATTTATTATTATTATTATTATTATTATTATTATTTTATTACAGATACAACCTAAGGCCCAACTCTGGCCCGATTACAACCAGGCCCGATCAGAAATGGCCCAAGCAGAACCCTAAACCCAACTAGGGTTTGTGTTATCACTCTTAGCCGCCATTGATCACCACCGTTGGATCTGTCCTTGATCCAACGGTCCCCAGATGCTCCATCAAGAAACCCTAGGGTTATCATAACCCTAGGGACCACGCGCCGCCGCCCCTGAAGCCAAGCAAACCCACCGACTGTCTTCTGCTAGGTGCCTCGTCCAGACGCCGTCTCCACTGCCAGATGGTCCAACCAGTTGTTGCTGACGCTGCTGCTTTCACGACGCCGGCCTCGTCGAGCTTTCCAGAAGCCAATTGCCTCACCAAATCAGTGCTCTATGGTGAGTCACCGCCATAGCTTGGTGACTCACCAAGGATGCTACCCATGGGACCGGTCCGATGAGAGCCTCATCGAGGCTATAAAGCCTTGGCTCACCTACAACAAAAAAAAAGGGCGACAGAGAGAGATATGAACAGCAACAAAGAACAAACGAGCAAGAACAACCAAAAGAGGAAAGGACAGCAAGAAAAGGAGATCCAAACAGCAACCATACCAACAAATAATAGTAAGAAGAGAGAAAAGAAGGCTTACCACATCCATCGGAGCCTACACGAGCCATCAAAGAAACCGAAATACCGAACGTATTTCCATAGATCTAGGTAATTTCGAAGGTTTTTAGGGAAAGTAAAGCCTGGAATCGGCCTTGGGGTATTCCGATCTATATTTTAGGTAAATTTGGGATTTTCCGGCCACCGATAGTGGTGGCCGGCGGTGGAGCTTGCGGCGGCGTGTGGCTGCCGGCGGCTGCCGGAATTCCCTCAGACGAGGAAAGCCGGAGAGAAACGAGAGAGATGATATATCTCTCTCCAGAAGAGAGAGAAGAAGAAAAGAGAGAATGAGAGGCTTGGAGCCTTTCTCAGCCGATTTAGGGTATATAAATCCCTCCCCAAACGATGCCGTTTTGGGGAGGGACCCCTGCGTAATTTCTCACGTAGGTAAACCATGCCCGCTAACCTCCAAGTTTTGTAAACTTTCATTTTGGTCATTAAACTTAATTTTTATACGTTTTAATTATATCTTTGAATTTTAGTTTATTATAAATTAGTCACTAATATGTATATTTATATATTTAGGATAAATAATGCATTCAGTCCCTAATAATTTTAATGTTTCTATTTTAATCACCGATTAAATAATTAATGGCTAATTACACTACTAGCATTTATATTTTATGATAATTCTAACCATGTCTCTTAATTATTTATATTTTATAATTTGATCATTAAATTTTATATAATCTTAATTTTAACCAAAAGTTTTATTATTTTTACATTTTAAGTTCATATATTTATGAATACGATCCTATAGTTTTTAATATTATTACTTTTAATTTCTTTCATTTTAATTATTATTATTTTATTTTATTATTACTTTTGATATATGTTTAAATTATTATCTTCATGATTATTTTTTTATTATTATTAAGTTATATAAATATATATATAATATTTATTTATTTATTCTATTTGTTTATTAAATAAAAATCATATTTATAAATTTAATTTTATAAATTACTTTTAAGAAAAATAAACATATTTTGATATGTATTTATTTTTTAATATCTAAGAAAAGAACAGTCTTAAAACAACTGGATGTCAATTTTCTGATATTTTTAAATAAATAAATATCCTATTTTATAAATTATATATTAATTGTTTTAATTATTTATTTATTTTTAATATCGAAGAAAAGAGCTGTCTTAAGGCACCTAGAAGTCATTTTCTGATATTTCTAAATAAATAAATATTTTGTTTATAAATATATATAAATTAATATTTTTTTTTCATAATTATAATTTTGAAATAATAGGATTATAAATTAAATATATTTTGAATTTTTAAATTTCTAATAATAGAGACAATTTATAATTAAAAAGTACCAATTTTGGGCGTTGTAGGGGTGCTAATCCTTCCCTAAACGTAACCGACCACAAATCCCTTTTTATTATTAAAAAGAACGAATTTTTGGTTAAAACGCAGATCAGTTTATCTTTTAATCGATGTTTTGTTAAAAACTCTTTTAAAGGATGATTTTTAGGTATTCGACCTACCTGATCCAAAAGGCTGATGGCGACTCCCAAATTATTTTAAAAATCATTTATTCACATCACTTTTTCCGCCAAGTAAAAAATTCGTGCCCGGACGAAAACCGGTTACGACAGCTTGGCGACTCTGCTGGGGACTGTCAAACTTTAAAATTAATTATAAATTGTCTCTATTAATTAGAAATTAAAAATTCATTTATTTAATTTTTAATTATTTTCTTTCAAATTTTTATTACTTATGATTTTCATAATATTCATAATATTTTTATTTTTTATTTTTACTTTATTTTCAGATATTAAATTTTATTATTTATTGTCTGTCAAAGGTTTGAATATTTCTCCTCACACACAACACTTGCATTGCATAACATAAGCTTTCTAATCAAGCTTGTCCCTTTTAAGTGGGAGTGAAAGCGACGTCTTCGTGAGAATTTATTCTCTGTGTCAGACCTAGCAAGTAACTTTCAGGGTTCATATGCTCTATGTTTTCGTGAGAATTTATTCTCCGTGTCAGGCATAGAGAAATGTGTCCCCTCGAATTGAGCTTGATCTGCTTAAGTTTGTAATGGACTAGGATTGAGGGTTGATAGCTCAATGGGGCATCAACAAGGACAATTCGAGTACCTTTACTCCTAGAACTAAAAACCTGCATATAATAAACCCTAGAAATTCTCCTAATCTAAGACAATACTGAAACCATGGCCATAGGTGTACACAAAGGAGAAATAAGCTCTAGCTTTTAATTTATTTAATTTATTATTTTCCTCTCTGAATAAATGCATGTGAACTAGAAATCATGCAGTTAGGTTAATTTTTCCAAACAAAGCATGAAACTAGAAAGCATGAGGTTAAGATTTATACCTTGATAGATAGACTTTTCTTTCCATTAATTGGTACTAACCAATTTCTTTTTTCACTTCTCATTTTTTTCATACATATTGTTTGCTCTAAACTTGTTTATATTGATTTCTTTTGTTTGCATTGCATGATCATGGCATAACCAAAAGGTGTTTATTGGAAAGACTGTTCATCATATTGGAAAGAAATCGTAAATGGACAAAAAGTTTTATGATCAAACAAAATATGATACGGCCAAGGAAAGACATCCTGAGGAAACTTCGAGGATAGAAGCAAGAAATGCACACATAGAACCGGTTATATTAATACCAAAAGTATTACACAAAGATCCTACCAGATTGATACCAAAAGCAGTCTATAGTAAGAGCATCAGCCAGGGCATTCAGAGTATTGGAGGTTTTTATGAAGCTCAAGCATGTTATTTGAAGGACTTGAAGGATCAAAACAAGAAATTGAGCACAGAAATGGAAGCCATGCATGAAGATTTCCAGAAGATTAGTCAAGCCTTTCAAAATGCTGGCATAGGAAACACCCCAGAAGAGTGGATCACAGGGGTCACCAAGCTGAAAAAGAACTGCAACATATATGAAGATCTTGTTCAAGAACTTCTTGGACAGAAAGGTTCTCTTACAAGGGAAAATGAGCAACTCCGAGAAGTGACACAGAAGATGAAAGAGAATGTAATGGAAGAAGTTGCAGTCCATACAAGCAATATGTCCCTTAAGCTGATAGACTAATTTGGCTTTGGAGAAGTTAGGAATGAAATATATCCCTATATGTAAAGTTTTGTTTGATGTACCAAAACTTTTGCTCAATGAAATCTGTTCTAAGATGATCACTCTTGAGTAACACCTTTTTATACATGCATTTGCATTTTTGCATTTTCATTTTGCATTTATTGTTTGCTTTTGTATTATTTTTACATTTACATCTTTACATTTGCATATTTGTATAGTTACATTTATAGTTTCAAACTAATATCATACGTTAAAACATTCATTCATTAAAATAAGGATTTCAACCGAAGTGATCTTGGTTCTCCCTTGTAGAAGAACGCTTAGCACAACACAAGAAAAATGTCTAAAGAAACTGAGGATAGGCTAGCCAAATTTGAGATAGAGCAGAAAGAAATACAAGAGGAATTGAGGAGCAAGTTGGCACAAATTGAAGCTAATATCACAAATTCTCATATCGATCTACTGAACAATATGAAAGAAATGATTGAGAAGCACCAGACCGCTGGAAAGAGTCTTGTTGAAAACCCCATAAATTCTTTGGGTGTTACACCTGTTCATATTCCTGAGTTCACCTCTGTACCCCAGGAAATTCAATCACCGATTTACTTCGCTGTTAAGAACTCACCATATCAAGCTGGAGCATCGTTCCCCACTGATTGTCATACTACTTCTGAGTTGAAGCCTGATGAATTTTGTATTAGTAATGAGGTCCTTGACCTAAACAAATCAGTTGAGAAGGAAAAATTCACTCAACGACTGGAAAATATAGAAGAGGTGATAAAATCTATAGAGACAGTTGAGTCATTTTATGGGTTTGATGCCAAAGAACTAAGTTTGGTCCCTGGCCTGGTTATTCCACCAAAGTTCAAGGTTCCAGATTTTGAGAAGTATAATGGGACCACATGCCCTTCATATCATATCACTATATATTGTCGTCGTATGACTGGCTATGTAGAGAATGAAAAGTTGTTGATCTACTGTTTCTAAGACAGTTTATCTGGGTCTGCATCCAGATGGTATAATCA